CCTATCACCGATCTCAATATGCCGTTGACACGTGCGGCTACTGCTGCTGCTGAAAGAAGAATGACCCCGGCAGCCGTTTCCTTCGAGGACTGGGTAAACAAGAGACAGAGGGAAGGTCTCTCACAAAGCGATCTTCCTGATCTCATGAAGCACCGAGATGCTGTGACGGACAGCTTCAGACACCTCTGGGTCAAGATGGAAGTGCAGGAAGCCGAGGAGGAGGTGCTTCGCAAACAACTTGCGCGCCTGAAAGCACAGCTCGCGGCTTCAGCACAAGCGAACGTCGTCGCCGCCGCCGCCGCGTTCACCCAGATCGTGAGTAGATTTAGTCTCATCATCCTACTCAAGATCGCCAGCGAAGTGAAGTGAACGTTCTGTGGCTTACTCACACCAATGCTCGTTCGCTCCATACAGAGAGCCGAGGACACTGCCGGTGGGAGTGAAGAGAGTTCGGAAGCTAAGGACGGGGGCGGTGAGGACTCGGAAGAAGCTGAGGCGGAGGGATCGCAGGAAGCTGTAACGGACGAATCGGTGGAAGCGGTGACGGAGAGCTCGGTCGAGGAGAGCTCGGTGGAGGTGGAGGCGGCGGAGACGGCAGAGACCGGAGAGACGGAGGGAGAGACGGAGACTGGAGACACGGAGGGGGAGACGGAGACGGGAGACACGGAGGGGGTGACGGAGAGCTAGGTGGAGGTGGAGGCGGCGGAGACGGCGGAGACGGCGGAGACCGGAGAGATGGAGGGAGAGACGGAGACTGGAGGCACGGAGGGGGAGGCGGAGACGGAAGGGGAAGCAACGCAGGAAGGGCTCGAGGTCGAGGAGAGTGGAGATACGGAGAGCGCAGATGCTCGCGGTGAGGCCGAGAGTAGCTCGGAAGTGGAGAAAACCTACGAGTACGCGCGTGACATATTCGGAGATCAAGCGTTGGGCATTCACTCCTCATCTTCTGTATGATCATGTGAGTAGCCGATGCGAATCCCTCCAAAGCTGCGATCAGACGCCATGCTGACCAGCTCGCCTGCTCGCGCTCAGCTCTTCGTGATTCAACTTTTCGTTCTCGCCTGCTCGCGCTCAGCTCCTCGTGATTTAACTTTCAGTTCTCGGAAATCTCATACTTCACTTCTTCTTCTGTTTCTCATGGTCACCTCTCCCACTCATCGGCTTCTCATGTCACCTCTTCGCAAGCGACGGTTCAACAGCATCTGACCATGGTTACCTCTCCCAAAGCGACTGCTGAGCCGAAATGGCAAGGCTCGCAAACGTCTGACGATACGAGAAATGAATGCATTGCGGCAGTGATAAGGGTTTACTAGGCTTGGGCCGAGACGTAGCCTTGGTCGAAGACAGATTGATTTGTGATCGTTCGAAAGTCGCTCCGAGCGAATCGCTATGCTCTGCGGAGAAAGTTGGCTCTTGTGTGCGGTCGATTAAGCATAGATCCGCGTCTATGCCGAGCGAAAGCTGAGGTTGTGTTTGCTTTAATTGCTTCTCACGCCCCGCAAAGCGCCTAATCATTGGTCAGGAGGAGAGATATTCGAGGAGATTACGAGATGGATGCGCTCGATCTTTGTGTCCAGTACTTGATATGCTCTTAACATCCTACAAGAGGCTGCTGCCGAATACTGTATTGCGCTTGATTTCGTCTCTCCGATGCCGATCAAGAACAATGTGAATCCAAGCTTGCCTGAGAGGTAGTGGCAAAGTTACGCATGGCGTCCAGGGCCGCTTTCTGTCGAAGCGAGTAAGACGCGACAGATGCCGTCAGCCGTAAGTCTTGTTGAAGACCGCAACGCTAGAAGAATGTAGCAGCAAGAGTGCTTACTCACGTGTGCAAGCTCGCTGAGCTCCATGTGGTAAGTGAGCTCCTCGTCAATCGACTTCAACGTGGACTTTTTGACCCTCTTCATTCCCAAAAAAGCAGCTCCCTTGCGAGCAACGC